GATTATTCATCCTTTGGGACTTGAAAAATATTCGTTAAAAAACACGATTAATTATCCTTTGATTCTTGAATTAAAAAAATCTTTTATTGATCCTTGGGTCCTAGAAGAATATGCATCTTTGGTCCTTGAAAAATATTCTATAAAAATTCGACGGCCATTGATCCTTTGGTGCTTGAAAGATTTTCTTTAAAAATCCACTATTATTGATCCATTGGCCCCTCAAAAATATTCTAAAAAAATATTGACCATTTTGTTCTCTGAAAATATTCTTAAAAATCCGTGATTATTCATCCTTTCGTCCTTGAAGGATTTTTTTTAAAAAAATCCACGATTATTAATCGTATGGTCCTCGAAAAAAAATCCACGATTATTAATCTTTTGGTCCTTGAAAAATATTTTTTAAAAAATCCACGATTATTAATCCGTTGGTTCTTGAAAAATATTTTTTAAAAAATTTACGATTATTAATCCGTTGGTTCTTGAAAAATATTTTTTAAAAAATTTACGATTATTAATCCGTTGGTCCTTGAAGAATATTCTTTAAAAAATATACGATTATTAATCCTCTGGTCCTTGAAGAATATTCTTTAAAAAATCCACAATTCTTAATCCTTTGGTCCTTGAAAAATATTCTTAAAAAATCCACGGTTATTGATCCTTTCGTCTTTGAAAAATATTCTTTAAAAAATCCACGGTTATTGATCCTTTGGTCCTTGAAAGGTATTTTTAAAAAATCCACGATTATTAATCCGTTGGTCCTTGAAGAATATAATTTAAAAATCCACGATTATGAATCCTTTGTTATACAATTATTAATCCTCTGGCACTTGAAGAATATTCTTTAAAAAATCCACGATTATTAATCCTTTGGTCCTTGAAGAATATTCTTTAAAAAATCCACGGTTATTGATACTTTGGTCTTTGAAAAATATTCCTAAAAAAATCCATGGTTATTAATTCTTTTGGACCTTGAAAAATATTTTTTAATATTCATCCTTCGGTCCTTGAAGAATATTCTTTAAAAATTCCACGATTATTGATCGTTTGGTCCTTAAAAATATTCTTTAAAAAATCCACGGTTATTATCTTTGGTCCTTAAAAAATATTCTTAAAAAATCCATGGTTATTGATCCTTTGGTCCTTGAAGAATATTCGTTAAAAAATCCACGATTCTTAATCCTTTGGTCCTTGAAAAATATTCTTAAAAAATCCACGGTTACTTTGGTCCTTGAAAAATATTCTTAAAAAAATCCAGGGTTATTAATCCTATGGACCTTGAAAAATATTCGTTATTATTGATCGTTCGGCCCTTCAAAAATATTCTTCAAAAATCCATGAATATTGAAACTTTTGTCCTCTGAAAATATTCTTTAAAAAAATCCGTGATTATTCATCCTTTCTTTAAAAAATCAACGATTATTGATCCTTTGGTCCTTGAAAAATATTTTTTATTATTAATCCTTTGGTCCTCGGATTTTTTTTAAATCCGCGATTAGTGACCCTTTGGTCCTAGGAAAATATTCTTTAAAAAATCACGATTATTGATCACCAAAAAATATTGTATAAAAAATGCAGGATTTTATCTCTATTCCTTCTCCCAATACCAAATATAGTAAAAAATATAGTACCATTGAGTACTTTTCGTACAATTATAGTACACATTTCCGATATTACCTCCATATCTCCAGACTACACATGAACAGCGACCCTAATACCAAATTTCAGATTTCAAGCACAGGTCCAAATATAAATGTGGATTTTTTAAAAAAAATTTTGGATGGGCGAAATATAAACGGGACGTTTTTAGAAATATTTTTGGATGGTCTAAATATAAACGTGAATTTTTGAAAAATATTTTTGAAGGTTGAAATATAAATGTGGATTTTTAAAAAATACTTTTTGAAAGTCGAAATATTAACGTGGATTTTTAAAAAATATTTTTTGAAAGTCGAAATATTAACGTGGATTTTTAAAAAATATTTTTTGAAGGTCGACATATAAACGTATATTTTTTAAAAATATTTTTTGAGGTACGAAATATAAACGTAGATTTTTTAAAAATATTTTTGAGGGTCCAAATATAAACGAAAATTTTTAAAAATATTTTTTGATGGTCGAAATATAAACGTGGATTTTTTAAAATTTTTTTTGAAGGTCAAATTACAAACGTGGATTTTTTAAAATTTTTTTTTGAAGGTCAAATTACAAACGTGGATTTCTTAAAAATATTTTTTGAAGGTCAAATTACAAACGTGGATTTCTTAAAAATATTTTTTGAAGGTCAAATTACAAACGTGGATTTCTTAAAAATATTTTTTGAAGGTCAAAATATGAACGTGGATTTTTTAAAAATATTTTTTGAAGGTCAAATAATAACGTGGATTTTTTAAAAAAAAATTTTGAAGGTCAAAATATGAACGTGGATTTTTTAAAAATATTTTTTGAAGGTCAAAATATGAACGTGGGTTTTTTAAAAATATTTTTTGAAGGCCAAATAATAACGTGGATTTTTTAAAAATATTTTTGAAGGTCAAAATATGAACGTGGATTTTTTAAAAATATTTTTTGAAGGTCAAAATATGAACGTGGG